TATATATATATATATATATATATATATATATATATAAATAGGGAGAGTAAACATAGTAAATATTTTGCAGTAAAAAAAATAGTAAAATAACTTTATTATGTCTGCCAATATCTATTTTATATCTTATATTTTGTCCCTTATGAATATTCATGGTTCATTTTGAATCATATGCCATAGATCAACAACTTATAAAAAAAAAAAGGTAATATGTATCAAAAAATAATAATTAGGGGGGAATCTTTTCCGTTGGATGGTTGATAAGGTCTTGAAAAATATTTTAAAAAACTAGTGTTTTCTAAAGCTATTTGTATTATTGGCATTTTAAAGTTAAAGAACCTACAAAATTAAAATTTGTTTTGGACCAAACTTCCCAGTCAAGACAAACTTGTCTTGTTCTGGCGGCTGGTTTATATAAAAGTTTAATTTCACATGTATGACGAAGATTCAGGCTTTTGAATTGGGATTTCCAAAGAAATTCAACAAGGTGAATTCTTAAAAATTAAAAAAAAAACTAAATTATATAAACCATATTCTTAATAGGTGTTGTGAGTAAAAAAAGTTAAATGTATAATGTATTCTGAAGTAATCTAAGCAATTGAAACCTTGTTGCTTTGTAATGGGTTAGTTGGACTTTGAAGGAGAACTTTGCTAGACCGCAAGGGAACCAATAACTATTTACTTTAAGTCATTTTTATTTATATTTGTTTGATGAAGTGTCTTTAACCTCATCTTACTTGTTCAATGTATACTAATTTTAACTTTAATTAATTAATAAGATGTCTATATTTTATTTAATTATTTCCTATTAATTTTATCTATCATTTATTTGATTTAAATATATTTTTAATTTTTTTATGATAAATTATCAATGAATTTAAATTAATTTATAGTTGAAGGATTAATATCGGAGAATTAACCTGAACGAAGGAATAAAACGCAGCGAAGTAGAGTAATAGAAGAGCAGATAAATGAAAATAGTAAGGACTAAGGAGGAATTTGAAAGGTGGAAAAGTGAAGCGACGATAGTTGTTCCAGTTTTCAACAAGGTTGGGGCCTCTTGGGCCTCATTGCGTCATGGGCCTCTGCCGATGGAACGCTGCTTAGGACAAACCTAACTTCACCTTCTTCTGCCCTATCGCACCTCATTTTGGACCACAAATATTACCCTTTTTATCTCTTCATTTATTATAAACAAATATTTATTAATGGTAAAAAGATAATAAAAAAAACAATATTCTACAAATTGTATATTTTTCTTGTTGTTGTATCTATAACATGACTCTTGTATTAATTATTATATTTTGTTTTTGTGAGTTTAATAAAATAATTATTTTTTTACACTGATAACTAATCATATCTCTTTATAATGTTATGTTAGTTGTTTATTTAATAAAATAAAAATAAAATAAAATAATTTAAATAATATGATTAATTATCAATATAAAAAATTTTACACTAACGATGTATGAATGATTAATTCTTAATAAAATAATGGTGATATGGGTACATAGATATTAGATTAGTTTCATTTTTATTTCACCCACTTGTATTCAGATGCCAGATATGTTGAACTGGTTTGGATGGTGTACATGGGATGCTTTCTACACTAATGTGACTTCAGAGAATGTGAAGCAAGGATTACAAAGGTGTTACTTCTTTCTATGGACAACGATCATTGACATGAGATATATGCATCACATAGACATTAATTTGTGTCTGTCACATTTTTTTTTAATCTTTTTGCAGCTTTGAGAAAGGTGGAATTCCTGCTAAGTTTGTAATAATTGATGATGGATGGCAATCTGTTGGCATGGACCCTAATGGTATTGAATGGAAATCTGATACTTCAGCCAAGTGGGTACTTTTCTAAGTTTCATTATCAGATTGTAGTTCCATCCATTTTACAATGTTGAATAAGCAAGTCACTTTCTTGCTTTAACAGCTTTGCAAATCGCTTAACAAACATCAAAGAGCATGTGCATGGACTTGATTGCTTTTGAGGTTTTTTATGGGTGTTGATGCACAGTAATTAATGTTTAAGTTTAAGGTAACTGTGATTCTGATACAAAGATGATTTTTTTGTTTTTGGTTTCAGGGGGTTGCGGTTTATGTGTGTTTTCCGGTTCAAGATGTGGTGGATGACGCAGAGAATGGGCTCTTGTGGACAAGAAGTCCCCATTGAGACACAGTTCTTGCTTGTTGAATCAAACAGTGGCTCTGATATTGATGGAGGAGAGGATCATGCTACCTATACTGTTTTCTTGCCCCTTCTGGAGGGAGATTTCAGGGCAGTTCTTCAGGGGAATGATCAAAACGAGATTGAGATCTGTGTGGAAAGTGGTATGAAGAATAAAGATTGATTACTGTATTCACATATATGTGGTGACTTTTGCTGTTGTTCAATTGAAGAAATTTGTATCTGATTTGCAGGTTGTCCTGCTGTGGAGGAATTTGATGGGACTCATCTGGTATTTGTTGGGGCTGGATCAGATCCTTATGAAGTCATAACAAATGCTGTCAAGTAAGTTAAAACCTTTCAATAACTTTCACCTGTGTTTTCCCTAATTTTTAGTTTATACCAGTCATCGAACTCTATATGCTTGGGATGATTCCCTTTACTTGGTTATTACAAAAATTGGATTTTAAATTCTATTAATTACTATCAGGATCCAGCTTTAAAGTTTAATCTCCTGAAGTGTAATATACAAGTTATTGATTTTATTTTATTTGTAATTCTGTTCAGGACTGTTGAGAAACATTTACAGACCTTTGCTCACCGCGAGCGAAAGAAGGTACATATTTCTTCTCCCTGCCTAAAATATTTAGGGTCATGTTCATTACCTCTAATTTTTCATTTTTATTTCACCCACTTGTATTCAGATGCCAGATATGTTGAACTGGTTTGGATGGTGTACATGGGATGCTTTCTACACTAATGTGACTTCAGAGAATGTGAAGCAAGGATTACAAAGGTGTTACTTCTTTCTATGGACAACGATCATTGACATGAGATATATGCATCACATAGACATTAATTTGTGTCTGTCACATTTTTTTTTAATCTTTTTGCAGCTTTGAGAAAGGTGGAATTCCTGCTAAGTTTGTAATAATTGATGATGGATGGCAATCTGTTGGCATGGACCCTAATGGTATTGAATGGAAATCTGATACTTCAGCCAAGTGGGTACTTTTCTAAGTTTCATTATCAGATTGTAGTTCCATCCATTTTACAATGTTGAATAAGCAAGTCACTTTCTTGCTTTAACAGCTTTGCAAATCGCTTAACAAACATCAAAGAGAATCACAAGTTCCAGAAAGATGGCAAGGAAGGTCAGCGGGTAGAGGACCCAGCTCTGGGAATAAGGCATATTACTAATGAAATCAAACTAGAGCATGATATAAAGTATGCCATTTTCATATATTATTTCTTTTGTTTCTTCATAGGGTTTTCTCTTTTCAAGTACTCATGGTCTTTGAAAAATTTACCCCTTGAGTTTACAGGTACGTATATGTGTGGCATGCAATAACAGGATATTGGGGTGGTGTTAAACCCGGGGTTTCAGGTATGGAGCACTATGAGTCAAAGATGGCCTTCCCTGTCTCATCTCCTGGAGTTGACTCGAATCAACCAGATGAAGCTTTGACAACCATTGCCATGAATGGACTTGGCCTAGTGAATCCTGAGAAAGTTTTTCACTTTTATGATGAACTCCATTCATATTTGGCATCCGCTGGTATTGATGGTGTCAAAGTTGATGTTCAGAATATCCTTGAAACTCTTGGAGCAGGACATGGTGGGAGGGTGAAACTTGCAAGGAAATACCACCAGGCATTAGAGGCATCAATCTCTAGAAACTTCCCTGATAATGGAATCATTTGTTGCATGAGTCACAACACAGATGGATTGTACAGGTGTGAATTGCATACAATTTACACAACTTATGTGAATTCTTCTATTATATTACTCTAGATTTATTTATTCATGCTAATGATTTTCTTTATGAATTTACTTGTTTAGTGCAAAGCGTTCTGCTGTTATTAGGGCATCAGATGATTTCTGGCCAAGAGACCCTGCATCTCACACGATTCACATTGCATCATTATGAGGCAACACTCAGTCATCCTCGGGAGGATCCACCAGTTCACCATTCACAATCTTCTTAAAGTAGCCCATTCCCCCAATGTCGAGATCGGCGTACAGAAATCTTATTTGAGAGGTTGCCGCATCAAAGCCTTGAACAAATTTCGTCAAAGAGTCCATCTTCGCGGCTTGAAGGTCATTCTGGAGTTTCTCCACCTCAAGCTTCATCAAGGACAAGTCGTTCTCAAAAACATTCGCAGCATCGGCCGACTTGTCCCGGGCCAGGCGCATCTCGGCCAACTCGCTCTCCATCGCAACCTTCTCGGCAGCCCAAACTTGCTTCTCTTCTTCGAAGATGCGACGACCCTCCAGCAACTTGTCTCGCTCGTTGGCTACCCACTTGAAGTCAGCTCTACTCTTATTCAAACCCTCCTCTAAGGAAACGATCCTTTTTCCTTGCAACTTAGTCTCCCTCACTAAGCTGCGAATTTTATCTTCGTGGACCAACGAAAGAGCCGAGAGGCGATTGGTAAGTGACTCGACGCCCTTGGTGATGGTGAAAGCACTCATCTTCTCCAAATCGTCTCGGTCGCCTTCTAGCAAGTCGGTTCCCCGAATGTGAGCACTGTGGTTGAACTTCTCGTCCCAAAAAAGAAACAACATTGCCACGGTCGTCCCCATGGTTCACCAGCTCCCAATTCTCGCCGAGACAGGCACTCAGGGTCCTCTCGGCCGATTGAACTTCGGTGTCGCCTTTGTCCATCTCGGCGGCCACGACCGTCTCCAAGTTAACAACCGATATCGACTTATCGGCCTCGCGACGGCGCTTTTGAGGGGTCTCGCCAATAGTTCTCGACTTCACCACCGGACTTCCGGTCTCCGCAACCTTCTCGGAAGCCGACTCACCAACAGCAGCAGCTTGGGAAACCTTTTGTTGTTTCCAGAGTTTCATCATTTCCCGGTTGCTCAGACAAAGGTGTTACTTCTTTCTATGGACAACGATCATTGACATGAGATATATGCATCACATAGACATTAATTTGTGTCTGTCACATTTTTTTTTAATCTTTTTGCAGCTTTGAGAAAGGTGGAATTCCTGCTAAGTTTGTAATAATTGATGATGGATGGCAATCTGTTGGCATGGACCCTAATGGTATTGAATGGAAATCTGATACTTCAGCCAAGTGGGTACTTTTCTAAGTTTCATTATCAGATTGTAGTTCCATCCATTTTACAATGTTGAATAAGCAAGTCACTTTCTTGCTTTAACAGCTTTGCAAATCGCTTAACAAACATCAAAGAGAATCACAAGTTCCAGAAAGATGGCAAGGAAGGTCAGCGGGTAGAGGACCCAGCTCTGGGAATAAGGCATATTACTAATGAAATCAAACTAGAGCATGATATAAAGTATGCCATTTTCATATATTATTTCTTTTGTTTCTTCATAGGGTTTTCTCTTTTCAAGTACTCATGGTCTTTGAAAAATTTACCCCTTGAGTTTACAGGTACGTATATGTGTGGCATGCAATAACAGGATAATGTTTGTAGTTTCTTTTAATTTTCCAGTGCACCAAAAAAAAAAGATTAGACGGTATAGAAACAGGGTAATTGGCATGACTGAACTTGGAGTTCATTAATTATCGTCAACAATGCCTACTGTACGGACTGTTACAGTAAAGAATTGAAATCGTCTGAGGGCACTGAGATTTTAAATGTCACACTCATAAAACACCCTATTTATTCTTTTCACCCCATCCAGCCATGAGTTGCATTAACTTTTGCTGTGTTCAAATTTGATTTCTCTGTACCCACAAAAACAATGCCCTTACGTTACATATAGGCTGTGTATTTAAATCAACAGCTAAGACCCTAACTTAAAACATTATTAATAACATATTTTTATTATTGATTGAAATTTATTAAACACTATCGAGTTATGAATGATGTTTATGTTTATTATGTAAGATTTTTTTATAAAAAATATAATTAATACCACAGATTCTTAAGTTTGAATATGTTATCATGATTATAAATTTGATGAAGAAAAGAATTAAATAAAATATTGAAATATGAAACGAAGTAGTTAATGGCCTGCACTGCTGCGCCTAATAATGTAACAGTGTCCACCGCAACAAGGAAGAGGGATTTTGACGAAATCAAGTTGGTGGTGTGAGGTGTGAGGTGTGAGGTGTGAGCAGAGTCAAATGGACCAAATTTCTTAATTTATTAATTTCGTGGCAGTTAAGAAAACCCAACTTCCGCCTCATCTATCTATACAAATGAAACTTTTTTTTTGTGTAACATGTATACAAATGAAACAGATTCAAAAATAGCTCCAAATATTATATTTACTACATTTTTGTTAAATGATATATGAATATATATATATATATATATATATATAATGTACAACTTTTCATATTAAAAAAATTTATTATTAAACAAAGAGAAATTATTATAGGATTTAATACTTTTCTTGAAGGGTATAGAATTTAATACTTAAAAAGCGTATATTTTTTTTAGTATACCTAACTATTATTCAAAAAAATTAGTCTACAAAATATATCTTAATATAATACAATTTAAATACATAACATTAATTACATTTTAATTACGTTTGACACTATTAAACTTGCAACTAATGTTATCTAGACAAAGAGTTACTATCTTGGTCACATTTGACACTTAACGTCATCAAGTCAAAAAAATTTTCAAGTAATCTTGTTTGATGTATCTCATTACCATGTTTAACGTGAGTAAGTTAGAGAGTTTCTCATTGATTCACGCTCAACACTACCAATCTCACACTCGACGTGATTAAGACAAAAAGTTCCTAACTTGAGCCACACCCAGTGCTACGAAGGCACGCCCAATAAGATGATGATTTTTGTGCATAACAAAACCACCAAAATAGCTAAAACATGCAAGTCTCCAAAAAATAATGCAATCCAAGATTCGATATATATATATATAT